TCTGATGATATAAACAGGGTTTCATGCACCAAGTTGTTGTTTTATATATTTCAGTCCTGCAAGGCAAAATAAAACATGACTGAATCTGTTTGCAATTAAGTAAATACTTTTCAGCTTAAAGTGAACTAGAAGGTGTGACTTGATATCCAATGACGTCACCAAAAATAAAACATGACTGACTGTATATATACAGTCGTGCTCAGAATTAATGGTACCCCTGGTAAATATGATCAAACTGGCTGTAAAAAAACAAATCTGCATCGTTTATCCTTTCAATCTTTCATTCAAAAACTTCTAATATATATATATATATATATATATATATATTAGAAGTTTTTGAATATTTATATATAATATATATTATATATATATTATATTGTATATATAATATATATTATATTTATATATAATAAATATATATATATTAGAAGTTTTATGTGTGCACATATACATACAGTACGTATATATGTGCACACATAAAATAATATATAATCATAATTTTATGTAATGCAAAAATTCTAATATAGTTTAACAGCATTTTAAATTATATCTAATTTTTTATATCTGTGTGAGTGGTGTTACAGTAAATAGTAGACATCACTTCTGGGTATAAGGAAAGAATTTATTTTTCATTGTTTTCTCTCTAGTTTTGTGCACTCTGCATCCTGAGTAATTCAAATCATGAAGGGCTGTGGTAAAAAAAGAAACATACTATTCTGCATTTTACACAAATATACAATCTCATCCAATCTGTGGGAAACAGCTGTGGTTGTAGGCGAGTGGAGGCGAGGTCATAAGGTCAGAGGTGGTGGTGTTAAGGGGTGGGCGCAGGAACGGACGCTCAAGTGCGTGTGGAGCGTCAGGATCTGACACAGCTGCTTTGCTGGAAACGTCCAGAGCACACTTGAGTTTCCCCGCCACGTCCTGCCATTTTGACATCACAGACCTTGTGTATCTTTTACCACTGTTTATATTTTTTTTTTAAAAAACTAACTGACTAAAAATACATTTTTCTAAAAGGGAAATTCCATAGATGAACCATTTTAGGTTCCGCAAAGAAACTTTCAGTGATCAATTCTTACCAGAACAAGGGAGATTTAAGTGCTGGGTTTCAGATAAGTGGCCATATTACATGATCTACTTTATAAAGGTTAATAAGCAGTGGTGAAGAAGCAGCACACACAACTAAAGGGCATTATAATTACACAACAGAAACATGCACAAGACGATGAGAAAGATTTGAGTGTGTGTGTGTGTGAACACACACTTGATATTTCAGTCTTGAGTAAAGAAGGTGCTGCCACCCTCAGACCACGGGTCAAATCCTTCTGTGATGGCAAGTGATGCTGACTATGGCAAATGATCAAGTTATCTGTATCAGCTGGTATGTTTGTCCACTTGGCCAATAAACACAAGTAGTCAATGTGCTTGTGAGCAGTTCAGTGTTGAATAAATAATTAATAACACTAATCTTACTAAAGAGACAGTTAATAAACATACTTTTAATATAATAAAGCAAATATGATAGACATCAATATCTAAGTTGGAAACTTTATTATTTTTTTATGATGTGCAGTTACAGTAAGGACTATAAACTGAATTTCCCGGCCAGTAAAACTGAAAGTGATGCTGGAAACAGTGTGGAGATTAATTAAAACCTAAAACTCACTTGTAAGTTTCATCCATGGTATTATCAGAATTGTGTGTGGTTGCTATGCCATTGCAATTTGCTTCTGAGTGGTTGGGGTTGGGGTTGCTAGGGCATTCTGGGTGGTCTCTAAGTGTTAAGTCAAACGTTTTTGAGGCCTTGTGGGTTGTAATCAATTTCAAACTTTTTAAATGATTTAAACTCTTTACAAGAAATTTAGAGTAGCCTATACTCATTGAAAAACTGTGACAAATGAACTTTAGTCTTCTGCTTTCTCTTTAGTGTGAATTTGAAAGTTTTCGCCAACCAGTGTCCTTTTTAAAGCCTTGGATTGGCCCTTTGACCCCCCCCAAGCACAACCCGGACACATTTTAACGGCACTGTTGCGGTCAGCTGTTGGCTTCTGGGATTGCTTTGCGCAGAGCTGAAGGGAAGCAGCAGGATTTAACCAAGTGTGGTCAGGAGGAATGTGAGTGTAGTGCCTGGGGCCCCGTTCAGGAACGCTGACCACTAAGAAGGACACTTATAGAATAACTGTGGGGAAAAAGAACAGCGTTTAACATCTTATTCTTACGCCTCTGTATGCTGAAAGTGACAGTCAACACGATTGTAATGTTGCAAAAGGCTTCAGTTTCAAACAAATGTTCTATTCATCCAAAAAAAACCTTGAATAAATCTATCACTCCTTACACAAAAATATATTATGACCATTTTCAATATTGATAATACGGTAATGAGAAATGTTTCTTGAGCAGCAAATCAAAATGATTTCTGAAGGATCATGTGACACTGATGCTGAAAATACAGCTTTGATCACTGGAAATAAATTATATATTGTGTGTGTGCATGTGTGATGGCTATGGCTCCAACATCTTTGAACCTCTTCACTAATCATTTTTTATCAACCTATTGACAGCCCAGACTGATCTCATGAAGTAGCGTGTGTATGCCACGCCAATTCGTATTTCCATTTTTGGCGTGCTATCAAGACGCATAATCGCCTTTCAGCGTGTTTATGAACGCCGTTGACTTAACGTTATATATGACTTACCTCAACCCCGTCCCTAAACCTAACCGTCACTGGGGTTAATGGCATTTATGACTGGAGATTTGACTGCGTGTACAGACACGCGGAATGACGCGGACGTTAATGGCGTAGACATACACGCATATACGCGGATAGCTCAAAATGCGTAGAGATAACACGCCATCTGACTCGAAAGTGGCGTGTATGTTTACGCAAAAGTCATGATGTCATGTTGTGACAGCCTATACCATTTTCATTATGTAAAATATTTCCAAGTGAAAGACTATCTTCTTGGAGACGCCCAACATTCAACCCGAAAATAGTCATATAACCATTGCAATAACTCCGAAGCTATTCAGTTAAGGTAAAAAAAAAAAAAAACTGCATAGTGTTGCTTTAATTAACATGCTTTTGTTTCTTTTTTTGTCCCCATTACTGAGAAACTGTATCTAACAGCTCCATTTGTGTTTTATGAATGAGAGAAAGTCATAAAGGTTTTGGAGTGACATGAGAGTGAGTAAATGACAAAACTTTTAATGAACATTTTGTGTGAACTATTAAAATCTTGTTATGCAGGTTCAGGAATTTTCTCAGATTTCTGAAAACCAAAGACAAACATCTCAAATTCACAGAGCTCAAATACTGTGTATCTTCTATAATTTCAGTAACTAGACCACCATCATCGTGCACTACAGCAGACTTTACCACCGGCCAACCCTGGAGCAAAGGCGCACCGGTATTTAAAATATTTTTGCAGCTCCTTGAGCGATATGGCCCTGAACCTCAGACTTTCAAAACAATAGAATTGAGTGTTTGTGTATCCGAGGCAGTTTTTCATCTGTCATTTTTTCTGGAAATATGATTCCTACCTTACTGGGCAGACAAACAGGCCCAGGCTGTTAGTTTTGAAGTGGTTGCTTTTTGCCAAGGCCTGGTAAGCCCGTGAAAGGATGTGTGGGCGGATGGAGAAAGAAAAAGGAAAGAGTAATAAAGAAAAATACTGAGAAAAGAAGAGAGAGGAGCTGCCAAGGAAAGCCTCCAAACTCACTAGTCAACATCAGTCATTATACTCAAGACTTTGATGTAATTTCTCCCCGTTTTCAGACTTTAGGACAGGCGCCCGTGTCCACATGAATCAGGCTTGGCTGTGTAAAATAATCCTCAAATCATTTGTCATACCAATCCCAATTATTGTTTTCAAAGACAGAATCATAAGATCCAGCAGCAACAGCAAGAGTGATGAAAAGAGCTACTGGCTGCCTTATACAAGTTAAACTAACATCACTAATAATAAGGGTGGATCTTAGATTGGTTTCACAGTTTTAAAATGAGTTATATAAATATATATATATATATATATATATATATATATATATATATATATATAGACTCACCTAAAGGATTATTAGGAACACCATACTAATACTGTTTTTGACCAATACTCGCCTTCAGAACTGCCTTAATTCTATGTGGCATTGATTCAACAAGGTGCTGAAAGCATTCTTTGTGAATGTAAGTACACATTGATAGCCTGGCTTCATCATACTCATATTCTAGTGAGAATATGAGTCTGAAACCGCTCCGTAGGGCTTTGATTATGAGGCGTGTCTTAACTGAACCAGGAAAAAAAAAAACTCTGCACTCAATTGGATAGTCGGTAGACCTACAACCAATCAGAGCAACGCAGTAAGTCAACTACTTTGCATAGCGCAGTTTTCAACTACAGAACTTACTTATTTTAGAAGTAAAATAACGAGTCTTGCTTCTTTTACTTACTTCTCCATTAGTGCCACCAAAGGAGAAACCACAACCACAGGCTTTTCATTACGTCCCATCTTCTTAGCGACCGTCAGAGTCAGCTGATAAGTTACACTTTTGCCGAATCATGTAGGAAAGACGCCAAAAATATCTTTCCGATCGACAAATGCCTTGATTGCAGTTTTCTGTTTGTCTATTAAAATGAATGCGCTGTCGATTTTTTTTTTTGTTTACAAAAGAAGCGACAGCGGAATCTATACATCTCAATTCTCCAGCTGCAGTCATCTTTGACAAGCGCACTTTGATGTCGTGAGGATTACGTTACTGAAGACCACCTGTCAATCATCGTATAAAGCCCGCCCTGGCAATTGGCCCGATGATTTCTGAACCGATCATAATTACTCCTCAATGGATCGAGTCCAGACCAAACTTCCCGACCAAAAAATGTTGTGGGCGGAGTTCGGGCTGGCATTCAGGCTAACACATTGATGGCCTAAGACACAAAACTAGCAGTTTGTGTGAAAAAACAAACAGTATTTATATCGTTTTTCCTTCTTGTAATTACAGCCACGTCCAAGTGATCTGAAGGCACGGCGCTTCGGTCTGCGCAAGCGTCGGAAAGCGCCCGGAAGTGATACAACAAACAGCTGGTAAGGACTACAAAAAGCTTCTTCCAAAGTTGGTGAAAACAACCCCCCTAAAATTTACATAAACCCTCCCCCTAAGATGTGAATATTAACATTGTTGATATTCACATCTTAGTAGAGCTCTCGGTTATGAAGGGGTGTGACATTTTCCGAACACGCGTTATGCACTGCCACAACACACTGGGCCAGCTAACCAATCACAGCACATTTCATATTACGTAAGGAGGGACTTCATCGAAAAAGATGCGTTCAACCAGACTGGGAAGAGAGGAGCTGTAATATGTAAAATATGTGAAAAATAATGGTTTTTATAACAATCAAGCATGAAAACATATTCTTGTACACCCCAAAAAAACAAAATAAAGACTTTATGAAAGGGCACAATGGGACCACTTTAATAGCTAAATAAGGGGTTTGTTCCAATCACTAACCAGCCATATGATCAATAGCTTTAGCAAGAGTTGTTTGCATTTGCATGCTTTTCAAGTGTGTGAAAGTTATGGGTTTAATTTTTTCCTCTAGGGCGAACATGATGAAATTCTCCTCTAACCTAAGCTACCTCAACACATGCTCAAAACACAATGAAGACACTGTGCGGTATATCCTGCCCTCATAAATCTGCCATTTGGCACATTGCAAAGCTGCTGTAGACAGTTTAAGCCCATCTCAAAACTTCTATGCAAATTTCTTTTCTACTTTGCTGCCAGATCAATCCATGTGGATAAGCTTAAGACCCAATTGTCAGGAATAATTTAGAAATTATTGAGAATGCTAAAGTGTTTTGGCAAGTTCACTCCTCATTATTTACTTTCAAAGAATTGGTCCACTCACTCAGCTCTTCCCACAATTCTCAGGCTCTTCCAGGGAAATGTTTACATGCTGTAAAGTGAATGTGTGGAGTTTTTACCTCAAGGAGACAATTTTGCCTGATTTGACCCTTAAAAGGCTTTACCTTTAACGTCAGTTATAGGTGACGGGGTAGGTTTAGGTCTGGGGTAGGGTTAGGATTAGATAACGTCATCTAACCGACGTTTAAGGGTACCCTAAAATGGTGGATGTTGACTATGGTCAAAAGTGTCAGTTGTATGACGTCTTGGGATGAGAAAAGCCGTAAATGCCGTTGTATAATAATTGTTTCTTCATAGTTTTTTTTTTCTTATCAGTTATGTACGTCAGGGTTTTATGGTCCATCTCCAGTTGTTTAATGAATGTTTTAGTGTCATGTATGTTACCATGTTTTGTGCAGCCTCTATATATTTACCTCATCTTGTGGAAAAGCTATTGTGATGAACTTTGATTCATCATGTGGATTTCTGTTGACCTCCTCAGTTTATTATGGTGGATGTCAGTTTATGTAAATAACAGATTTTAGTGGCATTGTGGCCTTGCTAATTCAGCAGAAAAGAATGTGGAATTATCCTGGATTAAAATATGTATATATGTTTTACAATTTTAAATTAAGTTTTAAATTGTCAAATTTACCAGTTGTTCTGTAAATATATCTTTACATTTGTACTGTATACACAAATATTCTGGCAATCACTGCTGGAAGTTTTATTTTGTAAAAACTATGGATTTTTTTTTACATTATTTCTGATTATTATTATTTTTCAATTAATTTATTAAAATGGAATCTAAATGAAAATGGAAAAGACAGATTTTGGATTTTAATTTAAATGTATTTCATTGGGCCAGCTTAATAAAGCTTAATCAGCTTATAGCTACCAGTCCGTCGTTTTTCCTCTTTATCGCCATCTCTGTTCAAAATCTGCAATTGCAGTTATTCGCGGAAGAAATATGCTGCGAGAAAAGGCTATAAATCTCCGGCTAGCCGAGACTCGTGTACAGATGTGACGTAATGTCGCAAAGACATGCTCGAATCTCCCGCGGAAATCCACCAGTACCACTGGATTTAAAAACATTTATTACAAGCTTACCGCTTTGAATCAAGCTACGGCAAGCAGATAGTTTTGAACACGGGCTGAATATATATATATATATAAAAATAGGCCTAATTATTTTGGATTATTTTTAACTCAAAAAAGTTGCGGACTGCAGCTTTAATAAATTGTTGTTGAACCTTTTTTTATAATTTCAATTTATTAGAAATGCTTTTTTATGTCATTTTTTCAACCTTTATAATATTTTTCCAAAACCCTTGAGATGGTACATCGACTTACAATAGGTTGAATGACAGGTCTGCCATAGCCTGATGGTGTCTGTATCGCTTTAACTGGCACTCTGTAACTTCGGGGAGCGGGTAGGAACCCGAGCACAAAAAGAACTACAAAATTCGACTGCTTTGCGGCATACGTCACTTCCCCCACTTCCTCAAATTTCGAGGCAAGAGCCCAACGAGCGTTTTTTTTTTTTTTTTTTTACCTCTGACTGTTGTCATGGCTGAAGCAGCAAGTAAAACCAAATGTGAAGTGCGTCAGAAACAGAGCGTGCGAGCGATCAGTTTACTGTTGGTAATATGTTGTGTAGCTTTGCCCCTCGCCGCATCCAGTGTAGACTGCATTGCTTTCTTTTGAGGGTGCTTAACACACTAAACATCCCTGTAGAGCCGGGACGGGTTGCTCGTGCCAGCTCGATACGTGAAAATATACTGATTACTGAGTTTGGTAGGGGCTACATTCTTGGAAGTAAATAATACACAATTAGACGAACAAAATAATCGATCAGGATAACTATCCTATGTCTGCAGGCTGATAAGTTATGTTTGTTACTTATTTTTCTGGTGAAAGTGTCTTGCCTCAGGCTATAATTCAAATCGATTTTTCAAATTTGCAGATTCATCTATGGCAGCTTGATATTATAAAATTGACGACATGGCTATTATCTACCAACAAACATTGAATTGAATTAGCATATCCATTATGTAAAACAGTAGCCAATAGGCTAACGTTACTATAAAGACGCTGGCTTGTAAACGTGTACCTGGGATGTAGACATTTCACACGCAACACTGGAGTCTGGCCAAGATGTGAGAGTTCGGGGATATCGCTTCAACAAATGCACGCGTGTATTCCCTGGTGTAACCAGATTTTACGACAGTAGTATTGAAGACAATACTGTTTCCCAACTGTGGGGGGACCCCGAGAGCAAAATTAAAAAATGTCATAATGCTGCTTTAATTACTGACATTAGGAAAATTAAAATGGGTGGAAACAATTAATCCCTTCATGGAATTTAGGAATAATTCAAATAATTGGGCTTTGAAGTACCTATTAAAAGGTTATATATCTAACAAAACATTTTTCCAGTGTAAAATACACCTTGATTTATATGACATGATTTGTTTGCTTTCTGGAGCTCACCATGTTGTTAACTTGTCAGAGCCGTCATGAAATTACATGATGAATGGCTGGTGAACATGCAGCTGTAAAACACATCTCTCCACGAGTTCTCCTTCGCTAGAAGGCATGGGTTAATCGAAACACTGCGATGAGACGTGCCGGTCCATTGCGTCTGTTTTGAGATGTTTTTGAGAGGCCTCCTTGATGCACTGAAACTGAATAGTAGTGGCTGTAGGAGGACAACATGACTGACTGATTCATTTCAATTCACTTACCACTTAACCACTTTCCCACATGCTATCAGCTGTGTCATTTCAAACCTGTTTTAGCATAACCATGATCTGCTGCCAGGAGGTTTTGTGTGAATTCCCATGAATAGATAGAGTCGCAGGGCAAGTTGATTAAACAAAGCCTTGGTTGATATGGTGCTTAGCTTGTTCTGACCTGTCCCAGGCTTCTGGGTAAAGAAGTTAAATTTATCATTACCTTTTGTTGTTGTTATCTTTTGTGGTTTAAATGACAAATGTATTAAAAGTAAGGTTTGCTTTGTGGAGAAACTTGACATTTCACGGACATTTAAAGAAATGTGGCCAGTGTGCTTTTCAACATTGCATGAACATTGACTCGTAATTCACCAGTGCACATTATTCTAAAGAAAAACCTGCTTGCCTTTCTAATCTTAGCAAAATGCAACCATTCATTCCACCTTTCTATTGTGGCTGACATCATATAGGCCACGCAAGCTATTGGACAATGTTAACCAACAGCCGGATAGTAATAAAACCTCACCTAAAGGTGCTGACCTCATTTCTTTTCTTTTTTTTATTAATCCTGTTTCAGCTGGAAATACATTACATTATGAAAGTAAAGTGGTTGTGTGCAGTATTGTGTGTTGGCATTGAAGACACAATCAAGATTGACCCAGATTGATTATATTATATTATATTATATTATATTATATTATATTATATTATATTATATTATATTATATTATATTATATTATATTATATTATATTATATTATATTATATTATATTATAAAAAACAAAAAGTTAACTTATATTATAATATATTATTATATATTAAAAAAACAAAAAAGTTAACTTATAATATAAAAAGTGATATTATATTATATTACATTATATTATATTATATTATATAAAAGTTATATTATATAACAAAAAGTTAACTTATATTATTATATATTATTATATTATATTATGTTAGAAAAAACTAAAAAGTTAACTTATATTATATTATTATATTATGTTATAAAAAGTTAACTTATATTATATTATATTATTATGTTATATTATACTATTTTAATATTTAAAAAAATACATTTCCATAATAAGCAAGTTCACAATTTAGTTGCAAGAGCGAATTTACTTTTTGGTCTGTTTTTCTCTCTGTAATACATTAGCTGGGCCAATTTGACATACATTGAGCTAAAAAAGCAATATTTATGAGACCATTGTATAAAATGTAATGTCTGAAATGAACTGCTTTTGAGATTTCAGTCGTTCCTCATTAAATCACAAATTCTCAGGCAAGGCTCAAGTTCCTCACTCAGTATACATCTGATGTTTTCATCTGTTTATCATAAATCATAAATGTTGCGTGAGTTTAATACTTACGGTTAGGAGTTTTTTTTTTTCAAATCACCAACCTGAACTATGAGCAATAGTAATAGTAATGCTTGCCTAAGCAAAAGTAAATGTAAAGGTTAATTAAGTTTTTTTTTTTCAAGCTTTCTCTGCTTTGTTCTCAGGCAGCATGAGAACAACCCTTCTGACTCATAAGAAAAGCTGCTAAGTAAACTTCAATTAATCACAGACACAGCCAAACAGACTGATGTTCTCACACTGCAGAAGTGCCGAAGGCCTTAACACACTTTCCTCAGTGAGGGTCATTTCAAGACTTTGACGGCTATCTGCCTTCCCTGAATCAGACTGATTACTTTAATAATGTGTGATTCCCCTGACCTGACTGCACAGATTCAGTGATGCACTCATAAACAGCGCACAACGAGTGATTTAAAGCGATGGACTGCTGAGTGGATCTTCTCGCTGGATAACAGTTGTGTGAGCGATATGGAAGCACAGGTGAACGGGGGTCAGGAGCAGTTGTTTTGGCCATGTTGAAAGACACTATGCTGAGCTAAGGAGAGAATCAACCAGACTCCACTATCGGATACTGACCTCTGCTCAACCACCCTGCCCTGGGGTCATGACCTTTGACACACACTGATAGCAGCTGACACTTGTCCTTGTCAAGGGTTGCACTGGCCACACTCACAATGACAATAATTGTTACATAAAAAATGAATGCATGTTGGACACTATAAGTTTTAGTTTTTTTTAATATTTGCTTACATAAATACGTTATTGTGGCTCTCTGGAATACTTGATTCTGATTGGTCAATTGCTGCATTCTACAGGCAAATATTGTTTTATAATGTTGCTAATCTGCAAAATTGACCATCATACATAATAATAACATTATATTATATTTTACGTTATGATAAAATGTATACTATAGAAATGAAAAATTATTTATATAGTATAATAATGTTATCATTCATTTATATACTGATTATATATTTTTATTATATATATATATATATTATAATAACGAAGCTCACTTTTTAGGTAAAATACCAAAATATATTTTTGATAGTGCCATTGTCTATAAACCTTACAGCCGGACCAGCATGACAGATTGTCGTATCTGGTTCATCAACATCTTGAGTGCGTGTCTGATAACCGCGACCCACAACTGCTGTTATCACATTCACTCACAACCCTGATGCTTGAATTCTGCTCCACCAACGATCGGGGTTGATGAATAGGACTCCACTGGATGTAGATTACAGATAGAGTATGCATTTCTATAGAAAAAATGTCTTCTCTGAAGGCAAGTAATTCACAAAGAGTTTACAATATTATATATTACAATATTATTCAATCTTATGCAATATTAAAATATTTTGGACATTTTTATTGATGCATTGAAAGGTCAACCCCTAGAGCCTTCCTCTAGAACTATCTCTACTAATCTATCCATTTCATGCATGCATCGCTCTGTCCATCGACAGAGGTAACACTATCCTATAATCATTGCCCTGGACCTTCCTCTGGAACCAGGATCACAATTACACATTGTCACCGAAATACACCATTGTATCTCATACTCAACAGTCCCTTGTCTTACAATGACATCATACCACATTTTACTCCATTTTGCCTCATTACAAAAATGAAGTACGTGTTTACATAATTATTGTAGTGTTGGCTGCATTCGTGAATTTTCTTGAATTAATGTCATTTAAAATTGATGGTCAATTTGGATTGGTTCACTATCAACTAGGAGTTTTCCCTCAATAAACTCCTTATTAGCTGCTTATGGTAGGCCTAAGTTATTGTAGTGGTTACGTTTAGATATTGGGTATGGGGTTAAGGGAAGAATATGGTCATGAAGAATATGGCATTAATATCTGCTTTACATACTACGATATGTTAGTATAAGCATGCTAATTTAATAGTGAATAAGTGTACCTGATCTAAAGTGTTACCCAATATATTTATACATGCCTATATAAATGTATATTGATGTTTTATTGCACGAAAAATAGAAACAAAATGATAAATAATATAGCTAAACTTATAAAATATTTAGTATTAAGTAATTACAAATATTTCATTTGTCACCCAAAAGTGATTATCACAAGTATAGGCTACCCCTGCTTTGTTTAAAAAAAAAAAAAAAAAAACTGTTTTTTTTTACAGTAATGACTTAACTGTTATTTTCCAGGCCCTATTTTCTACCATTATACCATTAAGTGCTTAGTATTTATGTTAAATACAATAAGGTGTGTCTCTGCAGTTAGTGAGTGAGTGTGTGCGTGTGTATGTGTGTCTGTGTGTATAGAATAATGCAAGACCACATTTCATAGTGACTGATGTCTGATTAAACTCTCTCTTCAACCCAGGAGGACTTTGAGCAACAATGGGAGAGTTCAGAGAGCAGCCGAGAGCGGAAGTTGAGTGTGAATCGTGTGTGGGCTGTTAACAGTTGTCAGGTAAATGAGGAAAGCCTGAAGCAGCAAATCAAGACGTGAGCATGTAGTTTTACAAGAGGTGGGGTTAAAAATCCGTCTGAAACTGTCACCTGTCACACTTGATTTTGAGTGTGAAAAGCACAGCTGTGGGAGTTGTGTGTCATCTTTTCAAATATGAAAACTGCTGCATTGCACATTATTGATGTCTTCCTCCTCTAACACACTCCTTGAATTGGGTGGGTCAGATTAATATGTCATGTGTGAATGATTAGTGCAAGATCCTCCAGGAGCAGAATTTACAAATGCAAGTCAGTTTTTGGATAGATGACAAGGAAACTGTTGTTCTAACACTATTTACAGTTTTGTCTTTCGATTGCTAAACGACAGTGAGCACAACTGACTAATTATTATTATTATATATATATTATTATTACATTTTATATAGTATTTTTTGTATTCTAATTCACCTGCTGGAAACTAGCTTAAGCTAAATCTGGTGTTTTATAAACAGGAGTTTATATAAAAAAATATATGTTCTTTGTTTCAGTAGGGTAGCAACTAGGTATTTTAGCTATAGCGGCATTATTGAATTTTCATGGTATATTTTTACATTCATTATACCTATATAAATCTTCAGTTATGTCCCTAAACATTTTAAAGTACCCCAAATAAAATAAGATAAAATAAAATAAATAAAACAAAAGACTTTAGAAGGACTACGTGCTCTTATAATGACATCGGGCAGTAGTTTCAATGGTGGTGTTTTGGTGACCCCTTCTGGTGAGTTTAATGAACAACATGAAAGGCAATACATTATCATAACTAGTTAGAAATTTCTAAATCAAGGAAAATTTCTCTCTAGGAAATATCAGCATAAATAAATAAAAGAGTGACAATCTTTTTATGACAATGTTCCAGAAAATGAGGTGAACATGGAGAGAAAGAGGCCATACAAGTGACATTAGCAGACATCTGATATCCATATCATTAGATTTGAATGCACATCTTAAAATTGTGGGTAAATGTAACAATATAGGGTGTTTCATAACATGAGAGTTTATGAAAACCAAACAAATAAATAGCATGCATTATGTCTTTATTTCAGTAAAGATATTTTAGCTGGAGCTGGATTAATGGATATCCATCATTCACATTCATAATCTTCAGTTGTGTCCCAAACATTTTAAACTAGGCTACTCCATAGAAAAAACCCAAGACATAATAGTTTATTCAATATGTCAAGGGCTTGTTAACATTATTTGTTATTATTTGGTCACATTATGTGATGTTACACCCATTTCCTTGTCTTTAAAAAGGTGTAGAAGCAGTATGACTAAGCTGGACAGGTTTGTCTGCTATCTTCAGTAGCCCAGAATGAGACATGATGTGACATGAATGACAAACACATAAGCAGCGGCTATGCCTGTAATGTGGCATATGTGAACATTTCTTGGTTTTTATATTAAAGGGATAGTTCACCCCAAAAATGGCAATTCTGTCAGAACTTACTTGCCCTCAAGTTGTTCCAAACCTGTATGAACATCATTCTTCTGCTGAACACAAAAGAGGATATTTTGAAGAATGTGGGTAAACAAACATGGACTTGACTTCACAGGAGGAAATAAATGAATAAATACTATCCTATGGAAGTCAACTGTTTGGTTACAGACATTCTTCAAAATTCTCTTTTGTGTTCAGCAGGAGAGAAAAAAAACCATAAAGGTTTGGAACAACTTAAGGGTGAGTAAATGATGATAGAATTTTTGGTGAACTACTACTTAAGAAATAAGACTTTTTTGTCTCTATTCAGATCCATTTATTTGAACAAATTTGAGGTAGATTTTGGCATTAACGCAGATTTTAGAAGAATAACGTTCATTTGTTTATGTAATAACTCAAATAAGATAAAATATCATCTTCCACAGCAGGAGAACATCTGAATTTTACCACAAGGTGACGCTGTGCGTTGAGACTGTGTGGAGTTTTTCATTCAAGGCTTCCAGTTCCTTCACAGAAGAGCAGTGATCGTCTCGTCTGATCGAGCTCTAAGGTGAGGTCAGCAGCCAGCACTTGTAGTCCAGTCATTATTCCAACATTCACACCATCTGCAAACAGACATGTCTTTGAGGGCAAGAATGGGCAACATGGCCAACGGTTAGTAGGCCTAAGTTGTTTTTAACACACAAGTAGCCTAAAAAAAAAATATGGGCCGTCATTTCTGGCTTATCAAATGTAACGTTAGGCTAGAAAAATGATAGTCATTCGTGTTGTAGTTGTTGTAGGCCTAATAAGAAAAACGTTAACTAATCTGCTAACTAAACTAAACTAAGTCTATAAAACAAACAGGCCTACGTCCTTGTCTGGGGAAGACGCCATGCTTTTTTTGTTGTGTGGCGTTTTATCGTGAATGTAAGCTTTTTCAGCAGGTTTTAATTTTTTGTAAAGATAATGTTTACGTCAGCTGATGTTTATGTCGGCACCCTAGATTTAATAATCTTCCTTCAAGCCTCGTTTTCATTATAAAAATAATAATAATAATATGGTTCCCGCCACCCCGATACCAAAAATGAATTATCTGTATTTTTAAAGTGGGATCTTTCTTTTACTGTCTATGGATATGCTAGCTATCACACCTTCTACTCCAATTAATATTTCTTTATGGTGTGTTTTCAAAATAATTTTCTTTCTGGTAACTTTATTAAATCATGTTTGATTTTAGGCTGTAGCTATAGTAAATAACGTGTTGACAACTTATAGGCTATAGCCTACGAGTTCTGAGAATTTTGTTTCATTGTTTTTACCCAACAGATATTTCAAAAGATATTGTTAGGCCTATAAGTTTGGAGGACAAAATTATTATTTTTAGGTAGGTGTTAATTTTGTCTCTGACTTTAGAAAGCACCTAGAAAACTTTTTGGGGGTAAAAAAAACTTGTATAGAAGCCTATGAATATAAAACCAAAATATTAATCGTAGGCCTATTAATATATAGCCTAGAACAAATCTTTTGCAATCCCAACATAGCATATAAGTCGTAGCATTTGCAACCTGTGCTATTGTCGTCTCTAGGCTACACCACATCATCACGAATACCACATTAAAACACATCATCTGTGGAACTGCGACGTCGGGTTTGTATTATCCCGTTTTCACGTCCAACCCATCCTTCATTCATCTCTCTCGCTGGGCCTGTTTCCAATCCGAGGACATGCGTGATAGATTTGTGAAATCATGCCCACCCACCTCATCTCTGTGCTCGGTGGGCTCCGGTATCAATAAGATTATATGGGCAGGAAATGTAGAAATCCTCAACAAAGAGCTTCAACATTGAACAAACCGCCTTCAGCAGCCAAATACGAGCGAAAAAAAAAATGTTTCTCTTTCATCTGAACGACCTGACAGTTTTATGTGATATAGGCCAACCTAATTTTCACCATGTCATTAAGCGCAATGCATGGGAAATGCGAGATATTATTTGTAAAGAGCAAACATATGTGCGATAATATGATAGCTATAGCCTATTATAAATCTGTTTCTTATTGGACTCGTTGCTTCAAAGCTAGACAACATTTATCTGTTTATTTATCTTTTTTATGCTCTCCATTATAGTCACTTTTTTTTCAATTATTGTGATAAAAAAGTGTTAATGTTGTCAAAACCAGACATTAAATACATTGGCTAACAAATTACGACAATTAAACTACCAGTTACAATGTAAAAAATATGGTCAATAAATTATAACAACATAGCGTTTACATTGCTTTAACTCATAAAAATAAGTTGAGCAAATTATTTTTTTTAAGTTATAGCTAAAAGATTCAACTAAATTTTTTAAGTCAGTTTAATGCAATTTTTACTTGAAATGACTTAAGCATCCAAGTTGATTGTAGCCTATTAAAAACGTAATACATTATCCCACTTTGGGTAGTATGAATTTTGTAAAGTCAACTGCTTGGCTAAAAAAGACACGTTAGTATAGCCTAGAATGATGGCATACAAAATGACCATGTATAATTATTATGTAATGTTATATTTCTTGTGTCCGAGTTCGGCATTTTTCATTAAACTGATTCGATTTACGTAAAATTTATGTAAAGAGATACAAAATCATACAAACTATATCATTTTTTTGTGTTGGTGAATTGTAATTTATTTCTAGTAGCCTAATGAAAATAAGATATCTAACATATCTGATGTCGAGCATTCAAAGCTCAAAGGAGCAGAGGAGTCTGTCTTTTTTAAACAGATAATGCACTTCAGTGACATGATATCAATCATGGTTCTTTCTGCGGGCAGAACCTGGTAGAGTTGCCCTGTTTTCATTGGAGTGGAGCTTCTTCCTGAGAACTTCGTCATGACATCATCGTCATCTGATTCCCGAACAGCTGCAGGAATCCAGTTGCGTTGGAGTGGACGATGGACATTGCATGTGCGCGCAGCTCTCCAGACCTCCTGCGCTCGAATATTGAAGATTCCTGTGTGGCCGGATTCAACCTCGAGTTGTCAGCGTGCTCGTCTCTTTATAATCAATCTTCCAGAGTGATCTGAGGAACCAGGAACAGACCTTTCCGAGTGAGAGAGAGAGAGAGTTTAAGACTCGCGCGTGGCATCTGTTTGTTTAGAACCAGTATCGCGTCTCCAGCTTGTGGATTATGACCCTGGACACAGATTTAATGGATGACCTTTTTGTCGACGTGGTTGGAGAAGGTGGCAAGGAGTCTGGAGACGAACATCTTTCGACCTCGTCTCTTTCTGCATCCGACCAGGTGCATAACGAGGGGGATAAGGACCACGTCCCCTCTTCCATATGTCCCTCAAGTTCGAGCAAAAGCCCTTCGGTGAAACCGCCCTATTCTTACATCGCTTTGATCACCATGGCGATCCTCCAAAGCCCAAAGAAGCGTCTCACCCTCAGCGAGATATGCGACTTCATCAGCCACCGGTTCGTGTACTACCGAGAGAAGTTCCCAGCCTGGCAGAACTCCATCCGACACAATCTCTCCCTAAACGACTGCTTCGTAAAAATGCCACGCGAGCCGGGTAATCCCGGGAAAGGGAATTACTGGACTCTGGATCCCAATTCATCGGATATGTTTGAGAACGGAAGTTTCCTTAGGAGAAGGAAGCGATTTAAACGGCAGCACTTCAAATTTGGGGTGTTCAGAGAACAAGCGCTGCAGCCGAGCGCTTTCCCGAACCTCGGCTACGGCGCGTACGGGTTCAGCTCGTCCTGCGCGCATTTAGTACCGGGCCTGGATATATACCCGTTTGGCTTCCATCAACCCATCGGGGTTCCACCTGTTGGCGGTATTTTACCGGCTCTATCCACGCTTTTCTCGAGGAACTCTGTGGCAGCCAAGTCTTTCCCGCAGTCCCAATCAGTGGCCATCGAACCTGTCTCTCCTGGCCTCGCCTGCGCATTGGCCCCGACCTCTCCATACGCGTCCTCAGCACTGTTTAATCCAGTGGGCTATCCTCGGGTCCTCAATTTTCAGTACGAGTACCAGAAACTACAAAATGTGCACAGCCACGTGGATTTGTCCACTAAACACAGACACCTGGCTAGCGTCAATGACTAATTCATCGCATATTTGGACACAAAACTATAGGCCTATTTTTTTCTCAGGAATTACTTCATATATCCAGAGCATCGCGTCGAATGTTTGCGAACATTTTAACGAACTTTTAACGAGTTTATTTTCTGTCAGGAAACCATTCAGTGAATGTATTTCTGTTATGCTGAACATGATTATTGATGCATGTTATTTTGTTGGAATGATTAAATATCGAATGATTCAGCTATAGCCTATTTAAATGACGAATTTCCTTTTCGAATTTTGACGGAAATAAAACTGACATTTTTAAATGCACAATAAACGTCATGATTCGTTATTTATTAAATGTGGCAAGGACAATGTTTCTTTATAAGCTACAAACATCAACAAAACGTCAAATGTGTGTTTTCTCTCTTGATTAAATAAATTTTGATTTACTGGCTAAATTTACACAAATTTGTACTATTTTGCAGACGTGTCACACGCAGGATCAAACAATTAAATAAGCAATCACCCCCCAAAAAAGGTAAGATCAGGTAAGAAATCGATTTTATTATGAATAATCTCATTCTCAGTAATATGAATTCTCATTCATAAAATAGGCAATTCTGAGACGCATATACATTTTCAAATAAATTGTGTATCAGAATTAAAACCAGGGCTTAGAAATTGACAAAGAGCTTTCCTTTCAGTTTCGATTCATAAAAATTATAATCAGGCCTTATATATTTAACAACACAATTATCAAAAGTGAATAATAGGAATGATTTAATAGGGGAAATAGGGATGTTAAATGGAATATGGGTTTGTAATATTTATTGGAGGGGGTTTTTTATGGTATATTTTGCATTACAACACCTTTTGTATTTAATTTTGTAAGCCATAATTATTTAGATTTAGAATTTCTTTCACTGAACTATTTAGCGTTCAAAATAAATGGATGGCATGCTGTTTTCTATGGATAAAATGACGACCTCATAGACGTAAAATTTCTCTGAAAATCGTCTACAGGGGGAAATTTTGTCATTTCTGACCAAACTGATTATACTAAATGAATGTTAATTTATAGCCTCTCTCCATCATATATTATTTCAATAAGTGTCCTCTCCTGTCGGTTTATTTGTTTAAGCTTGTTAAAAGGAAATAATCAACCAGATCAGTCTCAAATGCACTTTACAAATACACAGTATCTTTCCTGAGCATGAGCAGATTTCCATCTGAACACACACTGTAAATAATCATCTCGAAACGCTCAGTAGAGTCTTGACAGCTGCATATGCGCATGCTCAGGTGTATATTCAGTCTGGAAACTCATTTGACCCCTTTCAATTGTCGATTTCAAAGAAGCCAATATAATCACATGACCGCATGTCTTCACTTTCGGAATTAGTCCTGAATTAGTCAAAAGGAGGCATGAGGCCTCCTTTTATTTCTTAAAATTATTTTACTTGTTGTTGTATGATTTCATAATGATGTTTAAATCGTTTTGTCACCATTCGTAAAATGATTAAGAAGTTTCTACCGGGAAACAATAGACCAGAATAACGACAACTTTTTGTGCGCTGATTTTATTTTATGTGCACTTCTTTAAAAAAAAAAAAAAAAAAAAAAAAGGTTCTTTATTGGCATTGACGGTTCCATGAATGTTTTGGATGCTAAAACAATTGGAACCTTTATTATTAAGAGTGTAATGCGCTTTTTAATCTATAGACTGGCTATTATGTCAAATTGCTCATAGGTACACAGTTTTATGGCGATGGAAAGAAAAGAAGCTCATGGTACTTCCAGCTGAAGCCAATAAAGATAATGTGGTCAGAGTGTCTTTGGGGGAAAGGAGTTAAAAGGCCTATGTGTTTATCTAAATATAGGCTATTAATATTTATTTCTAGGTGCTTCACATATCGCTGAGTGTATGCATTAATGAATTTGACTGATATTAACTCCTACCACTACTATATTGTTATTATTAAGTTAATGAAATGGCGCTTAAAATGAGTTTTTAAAGAAATTCGACATTTTGTTAAATTAAAATGGTCTATTTATAAAGTAGCTATGGCTATAGGCCTATGTATTTTTATGTTGCAGAATGGTGAATTCAAAGTCACATTAACATGATTTTTAGTTAAAAGTCGAAGTTTAATCGCCAATATTTTATCAAGCTGACACACTTTTATATCTCGCGATTTTTTTAATATATTGTAGCCTAAATAAAACAAAAACATTACGGTAGCTAAGTAACAGCAAAACATAAAGAGAGAGAGAGGGGAAATCAATGTCACGCATGGCTACATTTAGCATCCTTCATAAATTGAGTGTGTGTGCGTGTGCGGTTTCACTAAATAGCCTAAATGTAATGCAAGCTCATGATTTGATGTGCCGTCCTGCCATGATGGGGGGAATTCATCTCAACTCATGGAATCACGTGCTTTAATCCTGTTGTCTGTCCGATGCCCGTCGTCCCATGCCAGTAAGGAGCTTTGCTTCATAAAACAGTTAAGACTGGTCACAAATGGTAGTCCCGTCATTTAAAGTAATATTTTCTTTTTATGTGAATAAAACGCCAGATCTCTGTAATATCAGAAATGATTAATTTGTGTCTGTTTTATATTGCACTATAAATCAGCGTTACTTTTGGAAAGTTGAGTCAATAAAAATATCTCCCCGTTCATTTTCTGACATGATACACTTAGGGCATTGAACTGTGGTGTGTGGTGTTTGACATCTTCCTTTCTCTTTCTATTTAAATGATTGCACAAAGAGCTTGGTAACTAAATGCACTGAATTAATATTTGAGATATATATATATATATATATATATATATATATATATATATATATATATATATATATATAAACAGCGTTTAAAGCCAAAACCAAAGTTATAAGGCCAACCTGAGATTGAATTCCCTGCACCTGACAAAATAAAGGAAACAAAAGAGTGTGTCTTTAGTGAGTGTGTGAGCACAAGAAAATTCACTAGTGTTAATGTGTACAGCTGTCTTTAGATCGCCCACAGAACGATTCCACTGTTGTTGGCTTTGAATAACTGCCTTTATTTAGCCGCGTCCCAGCAGAGATGTAGAGACAAATATTTATTTCTACAATGACCATCACAGCATATGGGTGACCCAGCTCCCACATCTTGCTTAAGGGCGTCTTTCCCATAGTTTGTTTTTCTCAAAAACAATCTGCAAGATTATACTTTCCCCAGTCAAACAGTCGTAGGCCTATATAAGACCCATAACTTAAAACAAAATAAAGGCATTTCATGTACGAAGACAGAAATCATAATAAACCCTACATTTGTGGTCTGAAATTGAATACGTCATCTGTGAAAACTCCACTTCACGCTCCATCAGTGTCACATTAAGCATGTTAATAATATTGTGATTGTGATGAATAGCTATTTATGTGACACCCTCCAGCAGTGCTGCCAGCGCGATCGCTCGCATGAGTCCCGAGCTTATTAGCGATGATGTATTATAATTCATATTTTACCCCCCGATACGGTTTGCTTTTACAAGGGAAAGAACGAGCAGGTTCGGTTTAAAGGTCTGCTTGTACCTGACCCGAGAGGCGCTTTCCTCTGTTTCCTCACGCCAAGTTAAACAGGATGGTTAAAATCATTCCTCAAAGCCTGTACCAGCTCGTGCAGTTCTCCTCTCTTCTCCAATCACGCAAAACAAAGACGCAGAGTTGTAGCGGTTCTCTGTGGGATATAGCCTTCTTCCAACCAAGCAGCTTCCTGAAGAGGGAAATTCTGTTCCCTCATCATTTTACCGAGGTGTAGGACTATTTTGTTATGTTTGAGCTGCAAGCAAAGGTAATAAAATGATTCAATGAGATAAAACTAGTCACTTCTTTAGATCACATTTAAATGTTAAAGTCCCCCTGTAGCCAATAATTTTATCCCTTAAAACTCATATTTTACTTGGAAAATAAATTCGTCATGACTTAAAATAGCGTGAATGTAACTACACCTTTACCTCATTTAGTTCTATGGATATGCTAATTATCCCCGCCTCCACTCAGACCACGTCCACGCGAAGCCGGTGCGTTCCCAATCCGATTTTTTTTTTTTCAACACGTAAACACGCCGTCCTCTCAAGAAATATCTGCGTACAAAACACACACACACTAAAAAAAAACACTGAAAACGGTATGTTTAATGTTGATGATCGTATTATTTTAATTATGAATCCGCTTACATTATGATATCATTTAGTTTCTGCTTCTTTTTTTCCTGTGTTTTCATCAGGAGTTTCAGTACTCTTTCAGAAGATGTGTAATAGCGCCACCTACCGTATAACAGTGGAAACATGGAAAGCTAGAAAATTCCATCAATGGCAAGAAGCGTCACATAAATTATGGAAATTTCTGTCTATGGGGGGAAAGAGTTTGCATTTTTGGTGAAAAACTACATTACCCATGATGCTGTACAGAAAATTACACCAATCAGTAGAAACAAGCAAAACGTGTCAAAAGGTCTCTTTAGCTCCCCCCACTCCCATGAAGCACTGCAAATTACTTAATGGAGTCTACAGTTGGTAAACATGGTGACGTTTTTTTGTGGGCGGAGCTTAGGTGGAGGCAGAAAGATCCATCTGGCCGCATTCACTAGCGCTAGTTAGCAAGGATTGTTAGCTTGTTTTTTAACAATGACTGGAGAAAATCCGATATTATCTTAATGAGTAAGGTCACTCAGTGTCCAGGACCGCGATTGTTATTTTCAAAAGTTATTTTTAACAGATGGAACCAGATTGGCCGACCCGTAGCCGCCTACACGCTCACTCAATGCATGGACGATCTGACAGGATTAACGTACGTTACCTCGGTTGAGTGGCCTGACTTCTACACTTACAGAGAAACCGATCGTAAAGAGAAACTGAGGGCATATAAATCTTTAGATGCCTATATGGTCCTGTACAAGTTCTGCCGAGTCAGCGCCGAGACCACGACAATGTAAAGAGTGACAGTTACAGTGCGATTTTAAAGATGTGAATATTTTCTAGAAATAAAAGTTCCAGATACAGCATATTCATTTTTCATCAATTCTTGCACCAAACAACACAACAAGATGACATTTAATAATAATAACAATTATTTAAGCTCCTTATTATGTAGCCGAATCTGTGCTGTTTTGCATTGGCCGCCTGCAGTTTTCACTTTGTTTTGCCTCCAGCTAGCGCCGTGACGTAACTGTGACGTCGGTGCAAAAGGGGTCTATATAGATGCCACATTTGGCCGCTCTATAGACCAGTGTTCCCACTTACTGTGTGTCGACCGGCGACACGCTGACCGTTCCAACATGGTTTATTGTTTAGTTTAAAATGAAAGTTTATAATCAAATATGATTCTTGGAGCTGTTTGGTTATTTGCTCCTTTATTGGGGAACATTTTTTTTTTTTAAATATAAAAACAATATTTCCTGGAAATAAGA